GACCGAAAGTCCCTCTGTAGGCCAGACCCTGTCAACTCCCAGGGACTAATCAGATTATTTTCATCCTTCATCTCTTTCAGGGTGGAATCTGGGTGTGGCTGTGCTCCTTGCCTGGGGGCTTGAGGGAGGAATCCTAACCTCCAGAGAGAATGGCTGCCCTAGTCCTGGGCTCAGGAGTGACTCAGCACTCAATTTGCTGCCACCTCTCCTGGCCCCCCTTCTCTCCTCAGCCTCTCCCCAGATTCCACTTGTCCCCACCTTCTCCCTCTCTTCAGCACAGGTGATTGTCTGTATCCGAAATGTTCTATGAGCAGGGTTCAGTGAAGACAAACAAACAAACGCCGGCTGCAGAAACGGGGAAGGCTGAGTCTCTGTAAGCTCCTCTCTTACCGGCACTGCATGGTCTGGTCAGCGCTTCAGGCTGCCCCCTTTAGGCTCAGTCCTCCGTAATTACGGAACCCAGATCTCAAATCCCCCGGTGCCAACAACCCTGCGGATCTCCTTTCCCCAGTCAGGGGCTGTGTCTGTCTCCCTCTGACCCTCTGGGCTCAGAGGTCTGGCAAACTTTCCTGCCCAGATCCCTGGTGTTTTACCTTTCCAGGGGAGCTCTGCCCTTCCCGGCTGCAAACCATCTCACCAGCTGAGTAATTTCGCCAATTTGGGGTGGGTGTTATTGGTTTCAGCTGCTTACTCCATTTGCTCCGGGACAAGACCTGTGACGTGTCTGCCTACACCGCCGCCATCTTTTTTTTCTCCCTCTCAGTGCATGAATTTGTGCACGTGTGGGGTCTCCATTGGGGCAAATCAGGGCCATCTTGCCCAGTCCAGATCGGCCAGACCCCAGCAGCAAGCTAACCTACTGGTCTGAGCATCTGCCCCCTGGTGGTCAGTATGCATCATAACAACCAGTCTTTCCCAGTCGTTCGACAGTTAGGGTCAATTTGCATTTTACCCTTTTATTATTTACGATAGATTCTCTGTTCATAGTATTACATAATTCTCAGCAATGTGTAAGGGAACTCCCCCCCACAGACTGCAAAATAGCCATGTGCCATGAAGTATGAAATTTCATACACTGGTGTCATTTGTTGTAAGACTCTGAGGTTTAAATGGAACAACCATTAGGACAGACACACTATATTTACAGTGAGTGGGAAAGACTGTAGAAAACTGGAGGAAACGTGTCCTTCTGAACATTTTGCAAAAATGCTCAAAGGTCTGTGGCTTGTGTGATGTTTTTTCACATACATTCTCAGGACCCCCAAAACTGTTTTCTGTGGCTGAAGTCATTGGCAGAAAAAATCAAGAGTTTGTTGGAGCCCCTGGCCTCACGTCAAGGTTTCCTCAACTAGCAAGACCTCAGAGCTGAGGAAGGATAATTCTCTAACCGTGTATTTTTAGGATTTATTTTTCGTAACCAGTCAGAATTGCCGTGGATTCCGATGGCAAAAGTCTTCACTGCTTGCCGATATTTGCTGCTCCTGTGCCAAGGCTGGTCCTCCCAGGAAATTTGGAGAGAGGTGGCAGAGCCCATATATGGTTGTGATTTTAATTTCCTAACAAGACAGGGATATCCAGGTCTTCATTTGGAAGTACTTTTTTAAAGACTTTATTAAGTATATTTAAAACTGACATACAGCCGAAACCGGTTTGGCTCAGTGGATAGAGCGTCAGCCTGCGGACTGAAGGGTCCCGGGTTCGATTCCGGTCAAGGGCATGTACCTTGGTTGCGGGCACATCCCCAGTAGAAGATGTGCAGGAGGTGGCTGATCGATGTTTCTCTCTCATCAATGTTTCTAACTCTCTATCTCTCTCCCTTCCTCTCTGTAAAAAATCAATAAAATATATTTTAAAAAAATAAATAAAACTGACATACAACAAAATGCACTGTTCTAGTATGTACTATTTGGTGAGCTTGGACATATGGATAAAGTTGTAAAAATGTCACATGTGAAATAAACATATATCTCACCCATGTGCAGGTTAGAGCAAAAGTAGGCTTACAGATGTGAGTATGCAAATCACAGAGTTTATTCTCTTATTTTATATAAGTCTTTTTCATTTTTAAAAATAATTTTATTGACATTTGGAAAGAGAAGAAGGGAGAGAATGAGAAATGGAGATATGAGAAAGAAGCATTGAACTGCTGCCTCCTGTCCGCCACCTACAGGGCTTCCAGGTGGGCATGTGCCCTGACTTGGGCTGGAACCAGTGACCTTTCAGGGCAAGGGATGGTGCCCAAACAACTGAAGTACAATGGCCAAGGAAGAGGTTGTACTTGTATTATTATTTACTAACTATTGTATT